GGATTGAGATCTCAGCTGGACATGGTCTAGGGACCAGGGAGATGAGGCGTGAGATTTGGTCTCACTTTCTGGGGAAGGAGACAGATGGCCAGGCATGCTCTGACTTTTCTGTTGAAACTCCCTTCTGTTGCAGCCCGACTGCCCCAAGTCCCTCAGCCACCCACTCAATCCCTACCTCTGTTATCTGGGCTCCATCTGCTGCCTCTGCTGCTACAATGACAAGCAACCCACACTGAGGGTCCAGCTCCAGGCTTCCCTGCTGGGTGGAGCCCACAGGGGCCTGCCTCCAGCCTCTACCATGTGCACTGGCTGCGGCACGGCACAGCTCCATGGCTATTTAGACAACGACCAGGGAATCTTCACTAACAGTGGGTCACAGCCGATCCCTTAGGTTTGAAGAAGACTACGGCAAAATACTTTGGGATACAATATCTCATTTTGCAATAGCATTTTTTTTTGCCTGTCTGTGCCTCCCCAGCTATGAGGATATTTCAAAAGGTTGGGAGAGGGGGGAATGGAATTAAAAAATAAGTTTATTTTGGTGCAAAAAAGATTTTGAAATCGTTATACATAAGAGGTCTTCAAAAAGTTCATGGAAAATGCATACTATGAGGCCAGCGCCATGGCTCAATAGGCTAATCCTCCACCTTGCGGTGCCGGCACACCAGGTTCTAGTCCCGGTCAGGGCGCCGGATTCTGTCCCGGTTGCCCCTCTTCCAGGCCAGCTCTCTGCTGTGGCCAGGGAGTGCAGTAGAGGATGGCCCAAGTGCTTGGGCCCTGCACCCCATGGGAGACCAGGATAAGTACCTGGCTCCTGCCATCAGATCAGCGCGGTGCGCCGGCTGCGGCGGCCATTGGAGGGTGAACCAACGGCAAAAAGAAGACCTTTCTCTCTGTCTCTCTCTCTCACTGTCCACTCTGCCTGTCAAAAAAAATGCATACTATGAAACAATAACAATGCATGGATTTCAAATTTTTAGTACCAAAATAAACTCATTTTTCAATTTCATTTTTAAAAAAGATTTATTTATTTGAAAGAGAGAGAGACAGAGAAACAAGAGAGAGAAAGAGAGAGAGAAAGAAACAAGAGAGAGAGAGAGAAACAAGAGAGAGAGAGAAACAAGAGAGAGAGAGAAGAGAGAGAGAATCTTCCAGTTGCTGGTTTATACACCAGATGACTACAACAGCCAGGACTGGGCCAGGCTGAAGCCAGGAGCTTCATCAGAGTCCCCCAAGTGTGTGGCAGAGGCCCAAACACTTGGGCCATCTTCTGCTGCTTTTCCTAGGTCATTATCAGGGAACCAGATCGGAAATGGAGCAGCTGGGACTCGAACTCATGCCCATATGGGATGCTGGCATGACAGGCAGCAGCCTTACCCTGTACACTACAATGCTGGCCCCCTTATTTTCATTTTCACACCAGAGACAGAGAGCTTTCATCCTTTGATTCACCCCCAAAATGCTTGCAACAACAGCCCCAGCCAGGAGCCAGGAACTCATTCTGGGTCTCCCATGTGGGTGGCAGGGACCAAACCATTTGAACCATCAACACCTGCTGCCTCCTGACGGTGCACATGAGCAGGAAGCTAGAAGTGGCAACAAAGCTGGGACGCAACCCAGGCACTCTGTATATGGGACGTACCACCAGACCAAATGCTTGCTCACTCCTCTTCGAACTTGCTGAAGTTTTCTCATACACTCCTGTGGGCAGCAAAAAGTCTACTGCAACAGTCTCTAGACTGCCTGGCATGGTGCTTTGGAGGCAATGCTCACTCCCTTCCTTTAGCAGGCAAGAGAGTCGTGCAGGCAGAAAACACTAAGGCACCAGCTCCTCGCTCTGCACCACCCTCTGCGTGGGCATTCGCAAGGGAATGCCTGTGGCTCAGATCCAGCTGCAGGGCCGCCTGCCCACCCACTGGCCAGAAAGAAGAGAAGGATCAAGAGAGGGGGTCAGTGCCTCAGTCTACCTGGGCGATCTCCTCTTTTCTCCCTAGAAAGCTCTTTTCTCTGGCTGGTGCAGGAGTACTGTAAGTGGAGCGCACAGTGAATCCCAGAAGTGCCAGCCGAGGTGACAGCCACACAAGCCAAGAATCTGAACTCTGTCTTGGCAGTAACCAGTAAATTGCCTCATTTTCCCCATTCACAAAAAAAAAAAAAAAAAAAAGCCCCTGGGAAAGGTGCCTAGTGCAAAGCCCAGCATGGCAAAGGGATATATATATATATATATACACACACACATATGTATATATATATATATGACACAGCAAACAGAATTTTTAAAGATAACAAATTGTGATCTCCACACATACGGGGGGTTCTTCCAAAGGTCCATGGAAAATACCTACTATGAACAACTTATGCATGGATTTCAAAAAATGTTTTGCATCATAACAAGATTGTCTTTTCATTCCATTTTTTTTTTTTAAATTCAGGTCTTAGCACCAGCGCATGCTTTTTGAGCAGGTGAGTTAATGAACAGGACTGCGTAGCACCCAGCTCCTTGACACAATGGTGTCCTGGCTGCCCTTGCATCTCCTCGGCAGACTGTCCGTGGCCAGCTAACTGTTGCCCCTCAAGTTTTGGTTAAGGCTGAGAGACGTGTCCAAGAACAGGGAGAATCACAGCCCTTTAGTAAGCTTAGCACCAGTAAGCATCTAAGAAAGCCAGTGGGTTTTCAGCATCTAAGAAATGCTGGTGTGAAGAAAGCTTTCCTGGGGTGGGCGTTTGGCACAGCAGCGAAGATGCAGCTTGAGGGGGCCGGCGTTTTGGCAACCAGGTTAACCCTCCCCCAGCAATGCTGGCATCCCATGTGGGCGCCGGTTTGAGTCCCAGCTGCTCGACTTCCTATCCAGATCCCTGCTAATGTGCCTGGGAATACAGCAGAAGATGGCCCAAGTGCTTGGGCCCCTGCACCCACATGGGAGACCCAGAGGAAGTCTCCTGCCTGGCCCCTCCCTCACTGTCACAGCCATTTAGGGAGTGAGGCAGCACATGGAAAACCCCTTTCCCTTTCTCTCTCTAACTCTGCCTTTCAAACAAATAAATACACATTTTAAAAAAATGGGGGCTGGCGCTGTGGTGCAGCAGGTTAAGGCCCTGGCCTGAAGTGCTGGCATCCCATATGGGCGCCAGTTCTAGTCCCGGCTGCTCCTCTTCTGATCTAGCTCTCTGCTATGGCCTGGGAAAGCAGCAGAAGATGGCCCATGTGGGAGCCCAAGAAGAAGCTCCTGGTTCCTGGCTTCGGATCAGCACAGCTCCAGCCGTTTTGACCATCTGAGGAGTGAACCAGCAGATGGAAGACCTCTCTCTTTGTCTCTACCTCTCTCTGTAACTGTCTTTTAAATAAATAAAAAGATAAATCTTTAAAAAAAAAAGATTCAGCTTGGGACAGGACGTCTGCATTCCTGAGTTTCTGCCCCAGCTTTGCTTCTGATCCAGCTTCCTGCTAATGTGCACCGAGAGGCAGCAGGTGGTGGCTCAAGGCCCCTCTCACTGGCTTGGGAGACCTGGATTGAGTTCCAGCCTCCTGGAGTTGGCCTGGCCCAGCCCCAGCTGTTGTGGGCATTTGGGGAGTGAACCAGCAGATGCAAGATCTCCCCCTCTCACTCTCTGCCTTTCAAATAAATAAGTGAATGTTCTGGAAAAAGAAAAGAAAGTTTCTTTCTCTTCCATGGAATCCAGACTCCGAAGGAGTCCCCTGCATCCTGGCCACCAGAGAGAGGAGGGATCAGGAGCCACCTTCAGCATTTAGGCCGAGAGGAGCACGGGCCTTGGGGGAGGGGTGCCCCAGTCAGTTCCTTGTAGCTAACCTGGCATTTACCTGTGTGGCAGGAAGAAGGCACTGCCGAAGGTTGCCAGGCACAGAGACCAGGGGAGGGTTCCCAGTAAGGGCAAGGGGCAAAGTCTCAGAAGGCTCATCGTGGTGTTTTAGAAACACAGGCTCCTTCATTTGTCTGCCTTATGGGGGACGGGCGTGCCCTAGGGGGCACTGGCTCCCCACAGCACAATGCAGGAGCCCCTGGAGCTTCTGAAATGAGGGGCAAGAATGACATGCTCAAAGAGAAAAGCCCAGGTCATCCCTGGAGCCAGCACATGCAGGTGCACTGCCCCTCAGACAAAAGGCAGGGTCCCCCAGGCGGCCCACAGCTCTCTGCAGACTCAGCCGCTCCTGCCCGGTGCCAGGCCCAACTCAAAAACAGCCACTGTAAGTTTCCTTAAGTGGTAAGCTGCTGCCCTTTGTCCCCAAGCCTGCAAGCTGTCCCTAGTCCCCATCTGGTTCCTCGGCCACTCCCTGACTCTCCCCCATGCTTTTCCAAACACCTGCCTCATCCCGAGCTCTCCTCCCACCCCACACCAGATAACACTGCTTTCTCTCAGCCAAGGCTCAGCGTGTGCACCCTGCTCATCTCCGAGATGCCTGTCATCTGGCAGTGGCCCAGCCCAAGCTCCTAGATCTCCTGGGAGCTTGCCTTCCTGTCCCCGGCCCCCTCCCCACCAAGACAGACAGACAAGTTCTGCTTCCTCACCCAAAGTTCCTTGCAGACAGTGAAGCAAATGAGACCCTAAGAGCTTAATGCCAGTGATAATAATAACAAGCAGCATTGAGCCAGCTTCACCATATGTCTGCTCAGTGCTTTCCAAACAGGACAGCATTTAACCCTCACAACACCTGCCCATTCTACAGAGGAGCAACTAAAGCGTAGGGGCTCAGGAGATAGTCAAGGTCACTGTTGGTCCAGGTGCACCTGACCACAGAGCCAGCCTCTTAGCCACCACAGGCTCCCTTCCTCCTGGCCCTGTGATCCTCCTGCTCCCTCTCTTTCTTGGCAAGGAGTGTGTGCTGGAGGAGGGAGAGCAATCCTCCAGAGCAGGCTGCTGGGGCCCTCCCTCATGGCAGCAGGGGCTCCGGCCAGAGCAGCCAATTGGAAGAGCCACCTGCCAGCCAGCAGGGCCCTGGGTGCTGAGGCTGCTCCATGGCTGACCGATGACCAAGCCTGGAACCTGTTAGGTCTGGGTGGAATTCCTCAGGAGGGAGAGGCTCTGATGGGGGGGAGGGGACACAGACCCACTCCAGGAATAGGTGAGCCCCTTCCAGTGCTGTTTCCGGATGCCACCAGGCTTGTGCCTTTGCCCCCGGGGCGGCAGGGAGGAGGGGGTTCCGGCACTGCCAGATCAGAGATGTAGTCCAGTTGGATCCCACCTGCCTGCCCACCCTCTGGTCTGGACAAGTATTGCTGACATGGCTGCAGCCCCCGGGGCAGGTAGGTCCCTTTCGCAGGCACCGTCTCTCCGCCCTCCTCCAGGCGTCCCGGTCGCGGTTTACCTTCACCACGGTGCCCTGGAAACTCCATCCTGTCGACCCCTCCCTTCCTCCTCTCTTCTGCACCCTGGCCCCACACTGGCTCACTCCAGAACCTCGGTGCCTCGGCTCCCCCCGCCGCTCCCCTCCCCCTCTCCCAGGGCGGGCGCACGGCTGTCATTTCGATGGTCCTGATCTCGCGGCCCCGGCGCGGGATACCCAGGCCTACACCCTCCCCCGTTTCCACCCGAGGGCTCCCCAGCGCGAGGCTGGAGACGCACCCCGGTCCCGGGCTGCAGGCTCCGGGCTCCGCTCCCCGCCCGCTGGCCGCCTCGCCCAGAGATTCAATCCCTGGCCCCGGCCTCCCTCACCCCCCGCCTCTGGCCGAAGGGGCTGGGGCCGGGGGAGGGCGGGCGCCGCTGGGCCACCGCCCCTTACCGATGGTGGAGATGTGCGAGGAGTGGAATTCGTTGTCGGTGAAGCGGCACAGCAGGCAGGTCTTGCCCACGCCGGAGTCCCCGATCAGCAGCAGCCGGAACAGCACATCGTACTGCTTCGCCATGGCTGGGGCCGCAGGCACCGGGGGGCTGCGGGCGGCGGGCTCAGCCCCGCTCGGCCTCTGCCATCGCCGCCCGCGGCCGCCGGGGCGAGAAGGAAGTGGCGCCCGGGCCGCGCGCCGGCCTCGCCCGCTCGCCCGCTCGCCGGTGCCCACGGGAAGCGCGCCTGCGGCGGGGCTCGGCGGGGCTCGCGCGCGGCGGTGGGAGGAGGCGGCGGCGGCCCCTGCCCGCCCCTTTCCCCTGCGCCGCCGCGGCCGCCCGGGAGAGGGCGCGGGCCGTCGGCGGGCGAGGCCGGGACGCGGAGCGCTGGGATGCGGGGGCGCCTTCGGATATCTGCAGGCGCTCTGAATGGGGGGCGGGGAGGTTAGGGCGGCCTCCGGGTCTCTAACCGTGGCCGCACGGCTGGCTCTGGCACCGGCGCCCCGCCGAAGCACCCCAGCCTGCGGGAGCCCAGGCTTCACCGGGGCGCACCTGGTTCTTAAGACACTACCGGGCTCTGGATTCGAGCGCCTAGCCACCCCCGGTTTTGGCTGCAAAGTCCTTTGCATGCAGCATCAGACAGCTGGACACTTAGGTGTACACCCACTCCAGAACTGACCCGGCCCCTCTCTGCACTCGGCTTAAGGTGCCACCAAGCAATCAGCCCGGGACAGACACCGGCGTCTTTGAAAGGCAGGGGGAGGGGCCGGCGCTGTGGCTTAGGGGGTAAAGCCAGCGCCTGCAGTGGGGGCCGCCCGTTCGAGACCCGGCTGCTCCACTTTCTCTGCTGTGGCCTGGGAAAACAGTAGAGGATGGCCCAAGTGCTTGGGCCCCTGCACCCATGTGGGAGATCCAGAAGAAGCTCCTGGCTTCGGATTGGCACAGCTCCAGCCATGGCGGCCAACTGGGGAGTGAACCAACAGATGGAAGACCTCTCTCTCTCTCTCTCTCTCTCTCTCTCTCCTCTCTCTGCCTCTCCTTCCCTCTCTGTGTAACTCCGACTTTCAAGTAAATAAATAAATCTTAAAAAAAAAAAAAAAGGCAGGGGAAAGGCGTGTGTGTGCACAGGTGCATGCCTTCAGGCTGAATGTTAGCTGGAGAATGTATTTTCCAGCAGTAGGTCGGGAAAGCGTCCACTTACTTGAGAGCTGTATTTCAGGCAAAGTTTCTAAATGTATTATACAGAGGGGAAAATCCCGAGCTGACTGATAATTACTTAGATTACACTAGAAGCTAAAGAAACTGGTCTTGTGGATTCCACTGAAATTTCTAGGTGCGCTGGTCTACACTGGGTTTCAGCTTCATGCAACCCTGGGGTTGGCTGTACCTGGGTTCCATCCCCAGCCACACGGCTCATCAGCTTTGTAACCTTGACCATGGCACTGAACTCCCCTGTGCTTCTGTTTTCTCGTGTCAAAATAAGGACATGTAGACTATCCACCGCAAAGAATTCTTGAAGGGGCAGCAGGTTGGGCTGCCACCTGCAATGCCAGCATCTCACACGAGCATCCCGTATGAGCAGTGCTCCACTTCCAATGCAGCTCCCTGCTAATGCACCCAGGGAAGCAGCCAAGGATGGTCCAAATGCTTGGGCCTCTGCCGTCCACATGGGAGACCCAGATGGAGTTAGCCTGGCCCAGTGCCAGCCACGGTGGCCATTTGGGGAGTAAACCAGTGGATAGAACGTCTGTCTCTTTGGCTCTCTCTGTAGCTCTGCATTTCAAAATAAATAAATAAATAAAAAAGAATAAGAAAGAATTGTGGGGGGCCGGCGCCATGGCTCATTTGGCTAATCCTCTGCCTGTGGCACCGGCAACCCGGGTTCTAGTCCCGCCGGTTGGGGCGTCGGTTCTGTCCTGGTTGCTCCTCTTCCAGTTCAGCTCTCTGCTGTGGCCCAGGAAGGCAGTGGAGGATGGCCCAAGTGCTTGGGCCCTGCACCCCATGGGAGACCAGGATAAGCACCTGGCTCCTGGCTTCGGATCGTCGCGGCGCACCAGCTGTAGAGGCCATTTGGGGGGTGAACCAACAGAAGGAAGACCTTTCTCTCTGTCTCTCTCTGTCACTGTCTAACTCTGCCTGTCAAAAAAAAAAAAAAAAAAAAAAGAAAAGAATTGTGGGAAAGAGGAAATTAGATAATGTGCGGCAAGGATTTAGCACAGTACTTGATCCCTTCTCTAAAAAAGTGCAGAGGCATGGAAAACATCCTGCCGGATGCAGACCTGGGTGCTGGGATTGTCCCACTCATGAATGTGGCCAAGAGGGTTTCGTGGGGCCAAGGCCCAGCCTGCTCAAGTCCACCCGCCCACAGCACACAGGTGCAGCTGGGCCTGGCCCCACTGCCTTCCCAGTAATCAACGCTCCCAGCAGCCTTCCTGTGGGGACCACTAGTGCTCTGTGTGGACTTCTGTTGGAGGGAAGTGGAGAGCAGATGCGAGCAGAAGTACATTCCTCAGCCGGAGAGGAGCGTTTGCTTTGGAAGAAACGGCTTTCTTCATGCAAGACAGGAGAGGGAATGAGCTGATCTCAGTGGGCTGGTCTCTACTCCAGTAAAGTCCAGGCTTCAATTATCTGTATTTAATTATACTAATATATTTCTCTCTCTCTCTCTCTCTGTGTGTGTGTGTGTGTGTGGTATGAGATGGAGGAGCTGAGATTTTGGGGCAATGTTGGCAGAAGAACCACATAGAACAGTGGAGACCACAGAAAAATCTGCTGATTCACTCCCCCCAAATGCCTGTAATAGCGAAGGCTGGGCCAGGGCCAGAGCTGGGATTTAGGAACTGAATGCAGGTCTCCCATGTGAGTGGCAGGAACCCAATTACTTGAGCCATGACCGTTGCCTTCCAGGATCTGTGTTGGCAGGAAGCTGGAAAAAGAAGCTGGAGTTGGAGCTGGCAATCATATGGTTTTAATGATTTATTTTATTATCTCAGAATAGGAAATTAAAGCTATGGTTTCTTAATCAACACCCTTTATGAGACCAGGGCTGAGGGAGTTGAGTAGCAACCCCCAGCCATGCAAAGTAGGTCATGCTAAATTTTTACTCAAAGTTGTTTTGGGGGGAACATGATCTACATCAGGACCCTGGAGCAATGAGCCGTCGCATGCATCAGTTAAGCCATGTTAGCTGCTGTAACAGATAAGCCTCTAAGTTTCCAGGGTTCACACCTGAAGATGTCTTCACCTCTCAAGTAAATTCGAACGGGCAGCAAGGTGGGAAGAGTACCCAGGGCCATTTAGACCCCAGCATGGCAGGAGCTGTGCTGTCTCCCCCAAGGGACCCCAGGGCTGGACTGCAGTGTAAAGGCTGCTGCTGTTGTGTGTCGGACCCCTCTCTGCAGGAGGGGTCAGGAGCATGCCCACCAGCTTTCTACATCTTAAAAACAAGATTTACCTTATTTAGTTGAAAATCTCTGTGTGTTGTCTCTGTGTGTCACACACACATACACACACAATCCTCCGTCTGCTGGTTCACTCCCCAAATGGTCACAACTGCTGAATCTGGGCCAGGCCAAAGCCAGGAGCCTGGGACTCCATCCGGGTTTCCCACGTGAATGGCAGGGGGCCAACCACTTGGGCCATCTACTGCTGTTTCTCTGACATATTGGCAGGAACCTGGATCAGAAGTAGAGCAGCTGGGACTTGAACCAGTGCCCCTGTGGGAAGCCAGTGTTGCAGGTGGCTGCTTAGCTCACTGTGTCACAATGCTGGCCCCAGGTTGTTTGTTTCATAATACACATTTTCATGAACTTTGTGAAGCTCTCCCTCTGAGACCGCCTTGTAGAGAGCAGAGGAGGAGCTGTGCCAACAGGAGAGGGCGCAGTTCACCTTATACTCTTAAATTAGCAGACTCTAGCAGACTTCAAAAGGCTGTTTGATAGGAGTGGTGATGATACGCTTTTGAAAGAGATCAAAATATTTGTTAAAAATAATTTCTAATCTTCAAAGGGATCCCATTTGTCCAGTGGAGTAAAACACTGAAAGACCTCCTTGTTCACAGAGTTTTTAGAAAAATCGGCATGAAGTTCATTTGAAAATGGGATGGGAGGGCTGGGTGTTGACTCTCAGCTGGCAGAGAGATGAAAAGAAATGGAAGGTTAAGGGCCAGGCCAGGATGTGATTGACACCACTTTTCCCGAATTGTGTTGACCAGAGCCTGACCACAAGGCTGTGCCTAAAGCAAGGGGCACTGTGGAGCAGACACTGCTTATGGAAGGCAACAGGACTCTGGTGGGCAATCAGCATTTTGCCACATACAAAAAGGAGGTCCATGGTGACCCCAGCCCTGGCTATGCCATCAGCATCTCTTGTAGAGCTTTTTAAAAATGCACCTAGGGGCCGGCGCCGCGGCTCACTAGGCTAATCCTCCGCCTAGCGGCGCCGGCACACCGGGTTCTAGTCCCGGTCGGGGCGCCGGATTCTGTCCCGGTTGCCCCTCTTCCAGGCCAGCCCTCTGCTGTGGCCAGAGAGTGCAGTGGAGGATGGCCCAGGTGCTTGGGCCCTGCACCCCATGGGAGACCAGGAAAAGCACCTGGCTCCTGGCTCCTGCCATCGGATCAGCGCGGTGCGCCGGCCGCAGCGCTCCGGCCGCGGCGGCCATTGGAGGGTGAACCAACGGCAAAGGAAGACCTTTCTCTCTGTCTCTCTCTCTCACTGTCCACTCTGCCTGTCAAAAAAAAAAAAAAATAAGATAAAATAAAAATGCACCTAGGGTACAGGCATTATAGTGTAGCAGGTAAAGCCACCACCTGCAGCACCAGCCAGTTCGTATCTTGGCTGTTCCATTTCTGATGCAGCTCCCTGCTAATGTGGCTGGGAAGTCAAGCCCAGGTGCTCGGGTCTCTCCATCCACATAGGAGACCCGGGTGAAGCTCCAGGCTCTTGGTTTTGGCCTGGTCCAACCTGGGCTGTTGCAGCCATATGGGGGAATGAACCAGAGGATGGAGGATTGCCCTGTCTCTCCCTCTCTCTCTGTAACTCTTTCAAATAAATAAATAAGTAAAATTTTTAATGTACCTGCTGGGGCTCCAGGCCCAGGTATTCTGAATCAGTAAGTTGTATAATGCCTGGGAAATCTCTACTTTCCATTTTAAGAAAATATTTATTTATTTATTTATTTTCTTCTACTTGAAAGAGAGAAAGGGAGAGAGAGCTCTTCCATTCACCGGTTCACTCCCCCCAAGTGCTTGCAACAGCCGGGGCTGGATGG